TGTGTGTGTGTGTGTGTGTGTGTGTGTGTGTGTGTGTGTATGGGCGCGCGCCGCACGCGCGCACACGCACACACACACGCGCGCGCGCGCGCACGCACGCACGCACGCACGCACGCACGCACACACACACACACACACACACACACACACACACACACACACACACCTGTCAGAACAACCCAGGCCTTTGGATATGCCGTTGGACATTTCTTAGTGATGTGCGCTGATAACAAATGACAGATGTGTGAACGTGACAATACCTGCTGTTGTTCCCGCCCTGGAGGAGTTCAAAGCAAGAAAAAGATGTACACGCTGTCATTTGATCTGCCTTGGCACAAGGAGAGTCCTGTTTTGATTTTAATTTCAATCAGTGGAAAAATTTTGTGTCAGTCAGTATGTTACCTCATGGGTCACGGGAAAATTCATTGCCATCATCATCATCATTATTATGGGAATTTTTTTTTGTTCACTGTTGCAACATACAGTATTTGATGATTTATGACATGGACATTTGTAGGAGGCTAATTGAAAGATGAAAAGACCCACAAAAGTGCTGATGTATTTAAAACAAAATCACGGCTATTTTGACGATAATTTGAACAAATGTGCCGATCATTGCTGCCCTATAAAAAAAAACAAAAAAACATGTATCTCAATTTTTTTACGGATGGAATATGTCAAAATGTGAGAATAAAACACCCCCAAAATTAAAATCTGGAGATACAGTTGCTACAAAAAGTCTGTACACCCCGTTCAAATGACAGGAGAATCCTAGTAGAACATCTGAACTTTTTAAAGGGTTAAGTGGAAGCACTTCAACTCGAAGCTGGTATGTGCTGCCACCCATTTAACATCAGTTTGAATGTGATTGGCTAATTCTGAACATAGCGACATCCCAGTAATCAGAGGGTGTGCACACTTTCACGACCACATGATCCGAAAACATATCGATTTATTTTCGGCTGAGCTCTACAGGTTATCAGCCACATTGTGGTGGAAAAAGTTTTGAAATGGTTTTATAAAAAACAGGAATTTGAACCACGGTGTGTAGAATGTTTTTTTTTTTGTTTTTGTTTTTGTTTTGTTTTGTTTTTAGTATCAATGGTCAATTTGTACAGTCGATTTGTCAAATTCTGAACATATTTCTGGTTTTATTAGTTGACATTTTTTCCGTGCTATAATCAGTACAAGCAAATATCTCATATATACAAACTGTATCCAAAATTTGTTTATTTTTCGTTGTATCGTGTTTCTTTTACCTTCTGTCAGTTATCTGACTGAACATTTTTGTGACATTGGATTTAGTTGAATTTCTCAGTCTTTTATGACAGTGTTTCCCAACCGATACTGAGACATGGTTTTATTTTACATGAGACTAAATAAAAATGGTCTGTCTCAACTATTCACCAGTGGACTCAGTGTGAAATGTGGTCCTGTTTAGATGTACACAAAGCTATTAATCAGTTCTATGTATGACAACAAATGGGTACACGTCTTTAGTTGTACCTTCTGCCATCTAGTGGAAGAGCATTGGATTGTTCTGCCGCTCACTATACATCGCTAGCATAGAATATAAGGATATAACGATATCTAATTGTCGCGACACAATCTCCCGATATGAACCTCACAATACGATAATTATCACAATATTGTGGCGAGGGTGGCAATTTTTTTTTTTAAATCACACGAGTATATATGAACTCACGATCTTGTATACAAAAAAATCTCAATGTTATCTTTTTGTACATTAAAACTGTTGTGACCAAGAAATGGGCTTGGCCAATTTGTATTTCAATGTTATGGATGCTATTGGCTCAGCGAAGCAAAGTATCATGATCTCTGTTGTTCACAATACTTTGTTCGGCTGAAGCAGGCGAAGAGTACGGTAACATTTTTTTTGATGGAGATGTTCTACTTTTCATATCAGTACATGATGATGATGATGATATTATGACAATTTTAATATCGCAATATCACCCATATCGTTACATCCCTAATGAATAGATGATCAAAGATAATTATTTAGTCGTAAATAACCATTTTTTTTCCATTTGAGCAAAATGGGCCACAGCACAGTGGTTGGGGATCACTGTTCCATGAAAACATGATTTAATAAAGTACAGTATGTCAAATCAGCGTCCTCCATTTCAGCTTTGATTGTGTCATGAGTATGCATGTATCGAGAATACATTTTTTAACCAATCTTACCATGACTATAATGACTTTAACTGGGGACAAAAACAACCAAGCAGGTTGCCCTCTTCGACTGGGGCCATGCCCTGCAGGCTTTGTTGACGTTTTAGATTTATATGATAAAAGTTTTACAGATATGTTCTGCGTTTAGCCGGCGGCTTGCAGATCATCTGACAGGTTTGAGTCGCCCCGAAGCTGCGCTCCAAATGAAAAACCTGTTTCAGGTGACAGCTTGGAGGCAAAGTGAGAGAAAGGTGTGTATTCTGCCTCAACCTGCTCAGGCAGTTGTCCAAACTCGCAGGTTAAATGAAGCCTTAAAGCTGGTGCCTTTTTACAGGATGGACGCTCTTAAAAGGAGAGTTCTTCCTCACTGCGACCGGCAGCAACAAACATTGCTGTTTTTCCTTTTTTAGATGTTCATCAGGTCATCTGTTCATCTTATTTGTCCAGGCTGTGGAGGAATGATTCCTTCAGAAATGCTTGCAACAATGTTGTTAACCAAAAGAAGGAGCTGTTGCAGAAGGAGAATTCATTGATGGGCTGCTGTTGTATTTTCCCCAAAACAAAACACACATTGAATTTTTGAATTATTCCGCTTCAAAAACACAATAAATGCAAGGCTGCACTTTTTTTTTTTTTTTTTTTAACATTTTAGCAAATAGCGTCTTCAAACACTTTCATCCCATAACATCTTTCCCCATGGAAACGCCGTTAAGCTATTCAAGGGCCCATAAAACCCTGAACATAAAATGTTGCAACATGATTTTTCTGAAGAAAAATGACACTCTATAGTACTGTTCATCATAATAACATACCGGAATAATATAATTTAATAGATTGGAAAGATTCAAAGTGTTTGGAAAGCATGATTGTTTGCATTCATTTTACATCTCCTTGTGGTATACAAACTTTGGCCAACAGGTGACACTATATATATATATATA